ACGGATCCTGGAATAAAATCAGGACTTAGCCTCCGGTCCCCACTCAGTCTACATTCTGATTTCGTTTTCCTAGGAAAAGAGCTGCTTTTAGCACAAACAGGACTGAACAGCCATATTTAGAAAGTCCCTATTTCTTAGATTTGATGATGGTGGAACTAGAAGGGAGAACTTGTCCCCTTTCTAGTCCTGTTGCTTTATTTATTTATTTTTTTGGAGAAGAGGAAACTGAGGCTGAAAGGATTTGTCACACATCCAAAGGCATGTTGGTATCTGTTGGTGTCTGGTTGGGGCAGAACTGGGTTTAGAACTCTGCCCTTCTCATTTACAGGCAGATTTTTTTGTGTACAAAGTATATTTTTTTCACCATTTTCATAGTACCTTTTATGAAAATTTTGAAAACTCTAACCTTTCTAAAATTGTCTGAGTTGAAATCCCCTTTTTCAGAAATCAACTCTCTTTCTCCCTCTCCTTCTCTGTCTCTCTGTCTCTCTTTCTGTCTCTCTCCTCACTCACTCTTTCAGCAAGAAGGGTAATCTCCACTAGGTTTGTGTGAAGTTTAGTTCTCAAAGTCTAAAGAGGCACCCACACTGAGATTCTGCTGCAGAGTTTCAGCTGTGAGCCGTTGAGTACAAAAGTACTGCATCATTTGGGTTTGGAGGAAAGCTAAAGAAAGCCTCTGTGAATGCTTCCAAGCAGCCAGTTACATTGAATAGAAGTACCTTGGGTGCCTGGTGACTTCATGTTTCCACTGTCAACCATCCATCCATCCATTTGTCCATCCACCATCTATCCATTTGTCCATCTATCCATCCATCCATCCGTCCGTCCATCCGTCTGTCCATCCATCTATCCGTCCTTCCATCCGTCTGTCCGTCCGTCCATCTGTCCATCCATCCATCTGTCCATCCATCCATCCGTCTGTCCGTCCACATTTCAGTGAGTCTGTGGTCTTGTCACTTCTTCCTGGGGTGTAGATCACAACCTGGCTCTGTTTTCTCACCCTTTATGACTCTTGGTCCCTTTTTCTCCCAAATACTTCCTATGGAGGTCGCCCAACATGGTGAAGAGTTCCTCTGGAGTGCTTAGAGGAGGGATGTCTATACCAGCATATTGGAGACATTACATATACTGCAGCAGGGATGACATAACAAAGAGGACAAGTGCAGGAGCTCACATGTGCGCATGCGTACAATTGTACAATGCTCACCCATGCACACATGCAGTGTGCACACGTGCATGTACATGCAGTGCCCACACGTGCACATACACACGGATGGGCATCTTTTTTACATGCCAGAGACGGACTTAGATAAAGACTTTTCCTTTTCCTCACTTAACATGTCAGTACATTAAACATTGATGTTGAACAGATGTGCCACAATGCCGCTCTCTGACATTCGGAGTGTCTCCGGCTTCATGGATGGGTTGGACTTGGCCTCTGAGATGAGAGTTGGAGTATATAGAAAAGTGCCACTTCTGTCCTCTAGTTTATAGCCTTATATCATCCAGAGGTGACTCAGGGTAATTTGACTTACTTAAGAAAAAGAGGAAAGACGCCAAGTCTGCCCCTCGAAGGCCTGCCTCAGGTGGTACTGGGATGCTGGCTGTCACATGGAGTGGCGAGTACTTGTAACCCCTCGATGTGTCAGGCTCTGTGCTAAGTGCTGGCAGTCCAAAGATGGGCTCTGCCCTCAGGGAGCTCCCAGTCTAATTGGGGAGACCAGAGAATGACGGTGGATGCACAAGACAGGACAGACAGGTAGTCAGGAGAGGGAGGGCACCAGAATGAAGAGGAGGTGAGGCAGGCATCCTGATCAGGAGAGAACACCCAGGGGACTTGGGAGAGAGAGTGTTTGGTTGAGGGACGGCGAGGAGAGCGCCGCCGCCCTGGCCTCAGAGCACTTGGAGGTGGTGCGGGATGTGAGCAGACGTGACATGTCGGGGGCTGATATTCCTGGGGAGGAAGGTCTCGGACGGGGGGTTACTGAGTGGTGGGGATGGAGGGATCTGGGCTTTAGAAAGATCAGCCTTGACAACGGAGTGCAAGACGGTCAGGAGACCCACCAGCAGGTATTTGTGGGCAATAGGTGGCACAGTGGGTAGAGCGCTGGACTAGGAATCAGGAAGACCTGAGTTCAAATCCAGTCTCAGACACTTACTAGTTGTGTGGTCCTGGGCGAGTTACTTAACCTCTGTTTGCCTCATCTGTAAAATGGGGATAACAATAGTACCCACCTCCCAAAGGTGTTGTGAAAACTAAGTGAGATAATAATTGTAAAGCATGTAGCACAGTGTCTGGCACATGGAAAGCAGTATATACATGTTAGCTGTCATCATCATCATCATCATCATGTAGGCATGAGAAGCCGAGGGCCTGCGTCAGAGTGGTGGTAGTAGTAGAGGGGAGAAGGGGGCATATGGGAGAGACATTATGGAGGTACAGTTGATAGGCCTTGGCACCAAATGGGATTTGGGCAGTGAGAGGTAGTGAGGAATCGAGAATGCCACCTCCATTGTGAGCCAGAGATGGGGAGGATGGCAGTGCCCTGGGCAGTAATGGGCACGTCTGAAAGGGGGGAAGGTTTGGAGGGAAAGATAAAGACGGTTTTGGATGTCCAGTTTGAGATGTCTGACAAGCAGCTGGAGATGTGAGATTGGAGGGCCGCAGGGAGACTGGGGCAGAACAGGTAGATCTGAGGATCCTCAGCATAGAGATGGTCATTAAATCCGTGGGAGCTACTGAGATCCCCAAGTGACATAGTCTAGAGGGAGGAGAGGAGAGGGCCCAGGGCAGAGCCAGGGGGGACACCTACACTTAGCGGGTGAGATCTGCAGCCAAGGAGACAGAGGAGGGAGAGGTCAGCTTGGTAGGAAGAGAACAGGGGTAAGGAGGGGGGTGTCCCAAAAACCTGAGGAAAGAGAGTATGAAGGAGAAGAGGGGCGTTGACAGTGTCTCAGGCTGCAGAGAGGTCAGGAATGATGCAGATCCCGTCTCTTTCTCATGTTCTCCCTGTTCTTACCTTCCTTCCCATTCCCTTTAAATCAGGGGTAAGCATATTTTATCTCAAGCAAATGCAAAGCACCAAACAAAAGAGGTTTGCTCTCAAGTGCTTGGCTGTCACAGGCTTTTCCCCAGCCATTCCAAGTGCACTAAAGTCCTTCTTAGTGGTGGTATCTGTTGATTCAGTCCCACAAGCCTTTAGTGGCTGGCCGCCTTCTATATGCCAGTCACTGGGCTTGGCACTGGGGATGCCCAGCAGAAGGGAGCTTATGTTATCCCAAAGAGACAGACCAGATAAACAGCCCCTACAGGTGTAGTGATTGGAGGAAAAAGGAGGGGATACTCAGGACCGAGGTGCTCAGGAATGCTTCCAGAGGCCCTGGTGAGGGAGCTGATCACTGAAGGTGGAGGACAGCCACTCTTGCAGCCCCCAAGCCTGACAGTCTTGGAGACGGAGGCCACCGTGGCTGAACCGTCCGGCACAGGAATGGAAATGCCGGGCCCTAAGCCTGGATCCTGTTTGCCAAGGGCTTAAGACATCAGGGACTTGCACAGGCCGGTGACATGCTAAGATGCGGGCTTTGTCCAGGTCCTGGGGCAGCTTGGCGAGGATGGGCCAAGGAGAGGAGAGCCTGCAACCCAGCACCCACCACCCAGGGTCTGCAGCAGTCAGCCTGGTGGTGCTGGAGGCAAGATTAGATGATAATGCCAAGCTGATCGCTACATTTCATCTTCCCTCTAATGCAGTCACTTAATCTTCAGAATTATTTTAAAAACAGTAATCCCTCTGGCAAGGGAGCCGCAGCACAGTGTGGTTGGAAGAGGCCTGCATGTGGAGTTAGGGAAACCTGGGTTCAGATGCCTCCCCCACAACTTAGGGAGAATGTGGGGTGCAAGGCAGACAATGCTGTGGTCTTGGGTTCCAGTCCTGATTCTGGCATCCGCCGTGTATGACCTTGGGTGATAGTGTTGCCTCGCTGGGCCTCAGTTTCCTACTCTGTAAAATCCGAGAGGGTTGAGGCAGATGACCTCTACGGTTACCTCAAGCATCTTGCCTACTATTCTGTCAGCTCACTGGGCCTCAGTTTCCTTACCTGTAAAATAGAGATGCTAGTTGCAGTATTTCCTCCTAGAGCTGTGGGGACGCACAGATGAGAAAATGTCCATCCAGGTCAGACAAGTGCTACCCTCAGAGAGCTCCCCTTCTGATGGGCAGGGTTTCAGCTGCAAGGTCAATGGTAAAGCCCCTTCCTAAGTCCTTAACAGACCAGGGGAGGAGGGAAGAGATGGTACCCAGCATGGGCTTGTTGGAGAGATCCAAAGCAGTGGCCCGTGGGAAATCACTGTGCTGAGCTCCTTTAAGTTGAGGCCCTGCCGGCAGGCAGAGCAGGCCAAGGAGAGGGGAGGATCAGGCAGATTCGGTCTTGCGGCATAATGAGATTCCCCAGTGATGAGCTTCCTGGGAAAGGAAGGCATGGTGGAGAGTCCAGGGAAGTCCAAAAGCAGGGCAGCAGTACATTATAAAGAGCACACTAAGGGGAAAAACAAGCTGAAGAAGGTATTTGTGTGCTGGCTAGTTCCAGTTGTCTGCAGGGTAAGAAGCCTTGCCCCCCAGCCTCCATGAGGCCGAGAAGCCACGCACACCCTCATGTGCGTGGGCTGCTTTGCTCCTCTCACAGGTGATCATTTGAAAGAGTAATTTTGTTCTCAGCAAACTCCTTAATTGATGGGTCGCTGTTTAATAAATGGCCATTTTTAAAAGCTGTGATGCATACTTAAGCATTTTTACACATAGTTCCAATTAATTTTATTTTCCACTCACTTTTTTTGTTTTAAAAAAAGGTATATTTATAGTTGGGAAGAGTCAGCTAATAGTTTCATTGTTTGTGCCTGAGGAAAATATCTCAGCAGGAATTGTGATGGAAAGCTTCAGCAGAAACATTCATGGATGTATGTGATGCTTTTTGTTTTCTAAGACATGTGTGTATTTTCCCTCCAGAGTAAAGCCAGTGCCATTGGAAGGAGTCAAGTCCAACCCGTCCAAGAGACACCGCGACCGGCTGAACACAGAGCTGGACCGGCTGGCCAGCCTGCTGCCTTTCCCCCAAGATGTCATCTCCAAGCTGGACAAGCTGTCTGTGCTCAGACTCAGCGTCAGCTACCTGCGAGCTAAGAGCTTCTTTGATGGTGAGGTGGCAGGATTTCACTGCTCTAAGCTTGCTTGTAAAGTAAATGAAAATACACCAGTATGTGCATTGCATCTGTTTGGGCATTTAACATTTTTAAAAAATTAGCCACATGTGAGTAAAATCTCAAGTTCTTTTTCTCCATTTGAAGTGTGGCGGCAAAGCCAAATACATATTGGCTTTGAAAATCAATTTTCCAGTTTCATTCATCAAACCAGATGTCACCACTTAAATGAAATCTGTCAATGAACCTTTGAAAATAATAGATTTGAAAGTAATGTTTCCTTCATGAATATTCCTGATCTCCCTCAGCTTTTCTCTCCCCTTCAGCTTGCTCAAGTTTTTCTTTTCATACGGTTCTCTCCTCCCATCCATCTCACATACAAATATACATAGATGTATAGATTACCTCGACTGCATTATCATCACAGTTGCAAAAGTGTATTCAGGTGGATTTGCACTCATCTTTTTTTTCATTGAACCCTGTGGCTACCTGATTTCTTCTAGCGTTGACCGTGACTTTTGCTTTCTTGTTTTGGGGAGGCTATGGAACTTAGTAGATAGAATGTACGAGTCAGGGAGACTTGGGTTTGAATCCATCCTCAAACACCTACTAGCTTTGTGACCCTGGGCAAGTCACTTAATGTCAGTCAGCCTCAGTTTCTTTATCTATAAAATGGGTATAGTAATAGCACTTAGCTTACAGGGTTGTTAGGAAGTTCAAATGAGATCATGTATATAATGAAAAATGCTTTGCATACCTTAAACCTGACTATATCAATGTGAGTTATATTTAATCAAGTAAAGTAGATAATGCATACGCAAACATACATATGTACGTATATCTGTGTGTATGTACGTCTGTATGTGTGATCTTATAACTACCCATAACCAGGAGTTACGATACTTTGGTCCCTGTTTCTCACTCACTCGACCATGGTTTTCCTCTGTTGTTTCCTGCCCATTGGCCTGTGCTCCCAGGACCTCAGGGGATACCTGCTGGGAATGACCAGGGCTCATGCTGGCTCTTCGCCCTGACCTCAGAGCCTGGGACAGCAGATGCTTAGCAGGGTCCACAGCACCACAGTCATTTATCTTCCATAATTCTTTTGTGGTAGCAGGAGGTGTCTTGCAAAGATGGGGTAAATTATGCAATTGTGAAGACTGAAAAATATCTTTGAAAATGATCCCGTTGTGACATAGAAGTAGATTAAAATTTGCAGCGATACGTGTTTGTGACTCAGAGGACCAGATGGACTTTACTTAGAGCTGAATCAGTTTGACTTCTCACCTAAACACATGAAGAATTTCTGCCCTTCTCTGCATCTCTTTGTTTCAAGGATGTTTGGGGAATCTTACAAAATGCTTATAATTCCTTATTTGGGGGGTTGATGTTGGGTGCCATGGAGGGAAGCTGGGACAAGAGCAGGCCTTGGAGGCAGTAGCCTCGGGGAGGTCTCAGACACATGTGGGCACATGACCCTTTATTTATCAAGACGTGGCTGTGCCCCGAAGCTATCCACCCCTTTTGGTCTTTTTTTTTTTCTCTCCCAATTGTACAAACACATCTGCTTCTTAATTTCTATATGTGAGTAGTGCATGGATATGGAAGAGATTGAAGCTCAACCCTTCTGTGATAAGGCCTCCCATGGCTCCCATGGTCATTGCCTTCTGGAAGGCTGGGCACCCAGGGGAGCATCCGTCGGGGGGAGTGTGTGGTTCCTACTGCCCAGTAGCCGTTCATTCCCACGAAAGGTGAGGTGATAGGTGACCCCAGGTACTGGCTATGGGACTCTAGGCCAGTCACCCTCTCTGAACCTCAGTGTCCTCTGCTGTTAAACAGGGGTGATCGTGCTCAGTCTACCTGCCTGGCAGTGCTGCTACGATTCAGTGTTTCACTTTGCTTTACCACACACACAAATTCTTGCAAAGTCTCTTCTCAGGGAGACACAACTAGGTGGAGAATGAGAAGGCGGAACAAAGTCTGCCCTCATCTGTGATTTTAAAGCTTGGAGGTCACTGTCCCAAGGGGAAGTTACAGCCTGTGACTGGAGCACCCTTTACCTGGAGAGTGTGGAGAGGAGTGTGGTGTGGCCAGTCGGTGATGGCCAGGGCGCTGTCTGCAAATAGCCAAGCCGGCCGCCGCCGGGAGGGAGGGGAAGCTCCTAGTGAATAACAGGATGCCAACGGGGGGCGTGGGAATTCCTGCGGAAAGAAAATAGAAACGAGTAATCATATGATCTCGTGAAAAAGGAAACCCAAGTTTTTGCTATAACAATAGATATTTTTCCAAGAAAATATATCCATTTATTCTTGGTTTAAATAATCCAGCCTGAGTGGGGTGCCAAGTTTAGCAGCCCTGACATATACCATGAAGGGCTTCTAAAAAGAAACGCCTGATTGTGAATGAGTCTGCTTCACCCCCCCTTTCTGAAAACGTCCCCAGAAGACACTCTGAACGTAACTTCAGAATAGATGGGAACGCTCTCAAGCCGTATTGAGATGCACTGATAACCCGATAAGTGAAGTCATCTCCTTGGTTTACATGCAGTTCACTTAAGCTTATACTCTCATAACAGAAACCCCTCTATATAGGTGTGGTGGGTGTGTGTGGGTGTGTCTGTATATGTGTGTGTATGTTTATATGCGTATTGGCATTTCTCTGACATTTTACAAAAAGGAAGAAAAAATCTATAATTTCTTTACTTTTTTTGATTCAATTTCACTTGAAAGAATTGGTCATTGATTTAGGGTTTAAATCCTAAATTGATCCTATATTTCATTTCAAGCAAGTGTATTTATTTATTGAACAGCAGTGTGACATAGTGGCTGGAGACCTGGCCTCGAGCCAGAAGGACCCGGATTCAGGTTCTGCCTCTGGCATTTCCTGGCTGTGGGGGCTCCAAGGAACCCTCCTGGTAGCAATACAACTACAGCTTCAGCCCCTGGGCCTGTCCTGCCTGCTGGGGGCCAGGTGGGATGCCGGCTGTGGGAAGAGACAGAAACGAGCAGCCCCTGTCCTCAGTGGAGTCTTATGCTCCTGCGTAAAGTCTAGGTGTTCGATTCTAGAACATGGCAGCTCTCTCTTCCTTTTCTCCCCTCTGTCTCTCCTCTCTGTCTCTCCCTT